ATTTAACTTACCTGGCCTAATACATTCCTTTGTTGTTACTGAACTCTCCTCATTGTAAATGGGAGCTATCTGTAGCTTATCTCCTTTCAGGAAGAAATGTTCTCAAGAGAGTTGCTGGAATGATTCCCTAGGGTTCTGATTCTTAATCCTAAACTTACAAAAGTAGCCATATAAGGCACTCTAAGCCTGAACTTTTTGTTACATCTTGTGTTAAAGAGACATCTTGGGAGAATAGATAAGGACAGTGGAAAATAGATTGTGAGGTCTGAATTCTAAATTCTGGATTGCGCACTACTTACTTATTTTTGTGATTGTGGTTATCTTCTTTTTGTCTTTTAAAATGTAAATAGGCTGAAGTATAGTCATTGAGCATTCACTATAAGAGAAATTTGATATGATTATGTCTAGTTTATATTGACTAAATATTTTCATTTCTTGTGGATTTAGCCTTTTCCTGTAATGTTTTTGTTTCATAGTAACCCTGGACAGATAAAGGGAGGGAATTACATTGTGCCTGAAACATTTGTCCTAAGAATACTTTAGTTTTGTAAGGAAAACCTTTATAAATAGTAAAAATCTATGATTTAGACTGGGAATGTAGCTTGAGTAAACATGTGCTTAGCATGTATAAAGTCCTGGGTTCAGTCCCAACTATTGTCCCCAAATTGTATTCACCCAGTGTGAAAAAAAGCCTCTCAGATTATAAATGATATGGTAGTTCATACCAGTGTGGAGTATGTATCATCTTATTCAGCCATCATCATTATCTCTGAGAGAAGGGTAGATTGAACAGGGAGAGTTGTTCAGTTTTAAATACATTAATTGAAGCAAAGTCATACAATTGAGTTCATAGCAGAATTTTCATTAGGACAAAAATCACACCCTAAGCCTCTCTACAAAGCTCTTTCATTAGCGCATGTTTTCTGAAGTATTTTGTTAAATTTATATCCTATTTCTAAAATTTGGATTGCTATAAATTATTACTACAAGGAGCTAGACTAAATCTGCCCATTGATGAATCTGGCTTTAAGAAGATCTCATATAAAATAATCTCACATTATAAACATGATTTTTATAGAGGTTATATTTTAACTGATTTTTTCATACTTTTAAAGTATGGACAACTACTTAATAATTTTAAAGACATTTCATGTAATAAATTACATCTTTCAAGGTTTAGCCTAAATTCAGTTTTATCTAGAATCCTTCATTTTAGCTGAAAGTGGATTTTTCAAAAATTCTTCAATTATCACAATCTTAGAACATTTAAATTGCTCCAGTAATTATTTATATGTGTGCTTTCATTTTCCATTGCTATCATTTTTGAAGATTTACTACATATATCAGATACATTAATGAATTTAAGTTTATTTGAAATTGCTTAATGACTGACACTCAAGGCTGAAGAGTAGAGTGAATGAAAGTCTTCCCATGGGACTCATTGGGACATTTTTTATCTGTATTCTCTCATTTTTCCATTCCCAGATAAGAAGTACTTCCTAGTGAGCTTCCTCCACTAACTTTATCAGAATCCCACATGTGTAAGGTGGGAGGAGGGTTAGTGGAGGGGACAATTGATGAGACTCCCAGTATAAAACAGCCACATTGCTGCAGTCTTGCATAACTGGTAGGCATTTTATATGAGTGCATTAAATAAGAAAAAATGCATTTTATTACCAGAAACAACTACCCTAGTCAAGTAGTGGAACAATTAAAGGGAAGCTTTCTTTGGTAATGAGGCCCCTCCTTTACATTTTTTTCCCATGGACAAGTCACACCTCTAGCTATCAGCTTGGTAGTGTAAAACCGAATCATGACCATTGACATGTTATTTGATAAGAAATTTGAAGATTACAAAACTTTTTATAGACTTTGTAACTCTTATGTTTGTTGTTTCTTTAACAGTGATGTACAACATAGACTTCGTTCACATCAAGGATTTCCTTCAAAGTTCCTTTCCACTAGAATAAATCACTGCATATCTCAGAGTTGCCTCTTGTTTTTAATCCTCTCTGCTTTCCTTAGAAGTAGTGAGTCCCCCCTCCCCCCCAGATTTTAATTTGTTTTACCAATACAACGTATCTGTTTCTCACTATCCTCTGATTTTTTTCTGGATGTTCAAAAAATATCCTTTAGAAAGGATATAAGTAGTTTGGGAAAAAATGAGATGTGGCTTTATTCTTTCAGTTTTATTTATTTAGTATTCTAGTCATTTTCTTTTTTTAACTACTCTGTCTTGTCTTCATTGATTATCTTTCATATGTAAACCTTTTTTCATTTCAGAGTCTAGTATAATGTTTTCCCCTTATGTCACCTGAAAAATTAATATATTCGCTCTCCAGCTTGATTAGAGGTCTACAAATTCTTTTATAAATTTCCCTTTCCTTTGTCTTATAACTTTTATGTCCAAAACCCTGAGTTCTAATAAAATTCTTAAGACATAGTAACTGTGATTTTCTTATCTACAGATATAAGTCTTCTTTTAAATAAAAGATCTATAGTTTCCAAAGTAAAGATCAGCTATTCCAATAATTATGATCCCTCATTTCTTTTTTAAGACAAAAGGTCAAGGTATGATGTAATAATAAGGGAAATGGGCATATAGTAGCAGTCTGTACTATTTTTACAGTGATTCAGTACATCTAAAAAGTGTTCAAAAGAAAAAGGTTATTGAAGAATATATAGACTTTTTATTCATAATGAATTCTGGAAATATTCAAGTGCTTTTGTTACAAATCATGAAAAATTGACAAATGTTTGTATCTACACCCTTGATAAACTTTGGATAAAGCTGTGGATCAGTTTGAGAGCATCATTTGCTTCCAGAATCTTTGTTGTTATGATACAGAAATTAAACGATATAGTTTTCCCATTCTTATATACTTTCCTTTTCCTAATCTTTTGTGGCTGAAACAACAAGATGGGATTATTACTGTACGAGTCTGCCACAGTCTCAAATGAAAAATATTACTATAAGAATTCATAGTCTCAAATAAAAAAGGATAAGTAATTTGTGCTTGATTGTAGAAACAATATTGACTAAATCTTTTGGATATATAAGAGGGTTAACTCTTCTTAAGGTTCGCATTGGTTCTTCTTTGATCTACAAAAGACCAGCTTGCTCTGATACATTTGAGTATAAAAGCTATCTCTTTTGGAGGTACTTGAATGTATTTTCCTTTTTCAGCTTTTCTTCAGAATGGCTTCATAGCCTACCATCTTAGCTTTTGTAAGGTGAACTCTACTGAAGAGAACAGATGATATCCCTAGAATATAGTTTTAGATTTGAAGTTTGTTGAATGCTTTATTCAAGGCTCATATAAATTAAGAAGTAATTACCTTGCCTCTTGCTGTATGAGGAAAATAGATTCTGTTCCTAGAGGCACCATCCTCTCTTTGCTTGCAGAAAAAAAAAGCTTGGAACACTCAGACTAAAGAATGCTTGTCAAAACAACTTGTTATATGAGGAACTAAAATCCCTAAGGATGTTTAGTAATAACTCACACAAATTAGAGCAGAATTGAAACTTTACCATTGGGATAAAAGACATTCTCATATCAGCCAACCATTTTTATGGCAATGTATAGAAATAGAAAAATGGACCTCCCAATTAAAAATTCAAATCAATATCAAGATAGTATAAAACATATTATGTATTCAGTTATAAAAATTGCTGGTAGCAAGCATCGTGTTTGTTTTAAAAAGAAACTCTCTGACTAATGTTTTACAGTTGTTGAATTCCACAATGTCTTTACTGAGTGTTTTTTACTTCCTAATGAAAAAGTAGGTTTTGTTTGTAGCACGTAGAACTCTGGAGATAAATTAAAAGATAAATTACAACTTCTTCTTTAGTTTTATTACAGAAAGTAAGTTCAGAATCTGAAGTGGTGCTGGAAATGAATGATTTTTACTTCCACCATTAAGTATGTTTGTAACTTTGAGTTAGGGTTATGTAATCACACTTATATGTTCTCAGTTACAGAAAAGTAGGAACACATTAAAAATTTTTGAATTATAATACATATATATAGGGCTGGGAAGGTGGCTCAGTGGTAGAGTGCTTGCCTTGCATGCATGAAGCCTGGGTTTGATTCCTCAGAACCACATAAGCAGAAAAAGCCAGAAGTGGCGCTATGGCTCAAGTGGTAGAGTGCTGGCCTTTAGCTAGCACTCAGCTCAGAGTTCAAGCCCTATGACCCTAAAAACAACAAAAAAATCCCATTATATGTATATTTGCCAGGCTAGGACCTTGGACTCACGGTCTGTGAACTGTCTCTGAGTTTATGTACTCAAGGCTAATGCTCTTCCATTTGAGCCACTGCTCCACTTCTGTCTTTTTTGGTAGTTAATTGTAGGTAAGAGTCTCACAGACTTTCCTGCCTGGGCTGACTTTGAACCACGATCATCAAATCTCAGCCTCCTGAGTAGCAAGGATTACAGGCATGAACCACAAGCACCTAGCTATTTTTATTATTTTTAAGGAAGTTTTTTTTTTTTTTTTGTCAGTAGTGGGGCTTGAACTCTGGGCCTGGGCACTGTCCCTCAGCTCTTCAGCTCAAGGTAAATGCTCTATCACAGTGCCACTTCTGGTTTTCTGATGGTTAATTGGAGACAAGAGTTGCATGGACTACTTTCCTGCCCAGACTGGCTTTGAACTGTGATCCTCAAATCTCAGCCTCCTAAGTAGCTAGGATTACAAGCGTGAGCCATCAGCACCCAGCTCTAAGAAAGTATTTTTAATATGACTGCTTTGTTTTTTATTTATTTAGCGATATTTTCTTAGTAATTGTCCTTTTTGGCTTCTGTCTCCCTACAAAGAAGTTGTCATTTTACATAAAATTTTTATTGGATCTAATCCTTAAAACTGAATTCTTGGCTTAAGAAGAATTATATGGGACCAGTTCCTGCTTACATCATTTTTGATACTCATGACATCTAAAGACATGTTAATGTCTCCGAACAACTTTATTTTCATTTTTGCTTGTTATTTTCTCTGACAGAATCCCAAGGACTGCAGCAAAGCCAAGAAGCTGGTATGTAACATCAACAAAGGCTGTGGCTATGGTTGTCAACTCCATCATGTAGTTTACTGCTTTATGATTGCATATGGCACCCAGCGGACACTCATCCTGGAATCCCAGAATTGGCGCTATGCTACTGGTGGATGGGAGACTGTGTTTAGGCCTGTAAGTGAGACATGCACGGACAGAACTGGCATCACCACAGGACACTGGTCAGGTAAGGAGCCGTGCAGCATGTCAGTTTTTTTGTATGATCAAAGTATCAGATTTCTAAATATAGGTTTTTGGATCATAAGCACCTTTTCTTCTGGATCCATGAATGCTATCCATTACCAAATAAAATTTACAAAGAAAACAAGTGTTTTCTAATCAAAAGCATGTTTTATGGCCACATATGATGGTGCATGCTTATAATCCCAGCAGTTTGGAGGCTGAGGCAAGAAGATTACAAGTTTGAGGCCAGCAGTACCACACTATCTGAAAAAATAAATAAAAATGTATTTTATGATCTATTTCATTTCTGATGTTTATTTTAAATTGTGGTTTAGGAAATTCACTTTTACTTCAAGGAGTAAAATCTAGACTTTTAATTATGATGATAATGATACAGCTTTTACTTTATAGGATGCTCTCACATTATTAAACTCATTTGCCATCATAATTATTGTATAAAAGTAGACAAAATTTTCAGACATTGACCTTTCCACTCTCTTTTCCTTCCTCCTTCCCTTTTTTCCTCCCTTCCTCCATCTTTTCCTTTTCCTTTTGCTTTGCCTTTTTCTTTTTTCTAGTACTGAGGATTTTACTCAGAGCCTTACACTTGTTAAGCAAGTGTTCTACCTGTGAACTCTACCCCCATCCCTTTTTGCTTTAGTTTTTCAGATAGCTACCTCAAACAATGCTTCCTCCTACCTCTACCTACCCATTAGTTGTAGTAGTAATAATAGTGGTAGTAGTGGTGGTGGTGGTGGTGGTGGTGGTGGTGGTGGTGCAGGTAGGTACTACTATACCCATCTTCTTTTTTGAGAGTCTCACTATGTAATCCCAGCTGTCCTGACATTTTTATCGTCCAGCTTCAGCCTCCTGCATTCTGGGATTATAAGAATGCACTACCACACCCAGAATCTGGACCGCCTTTTAATTTCAGAGCTGGGACTGGAATTCAGGCCCTCATGGTTGCGAGGCAGATGCTGTACTACTTCCATGCCTTTGGCTCTTACATAAAGCACACAAATGTAGTCTCTTTTAAGGGGCAGTTTAGAGGCAAAGAGGATGAACAATCAAAATGTAATAAAGTGGTGGGGACAAGTGAAGAATACTCCAAACCACATGGTGAATAACTATTTGAGGTTCTTTTGGAAGCATTATTATTTTTTTTAAACAGACCTAAAATGTAACTTGGAGGCAGCCTGTCAGGACATAGTAGAAGAATTTTTTTTTTCTTTTTTTTGGGGGGGGGGAGGAGGGTGTCTGGTCGTGGGGCCTGAACTCTGGGCCTGGGCGCTGTCCCTCAGCTCTTCAGCTCAAGGCTAGCACTCTACCACTTGAGCCACAGCGCCACTTCCGGCTTTTTTCTTTTTGCTTATGTGGTGCTGAGGAATCGAACCCAGGGCCTCGTGCATGCAAGGCAAGCGCTCTACCACTGAGCCACCTTCCCAGTCCCAGTAGAAGAATTTTTAGTCTGTGTGCATAACGTGATGAAAGAAGCAAGAGAACATGAAGTTGTTAGGAAAATTAGAAGCAGATCATTGTAACTTTTGAATATTGAGTGCTTACAAATGCTTTTAAGGACAAGTTTCTCTTTCAGGATTTCCATTTTCATGATTGTAGAAATTTTTTCTCACCAAACCCAGTTAGTTTTTATTTAGATAGCAAAGCTGTTGTTTTTGTTCCGAGTAGACAAATTGATAAGAAGTCATATTGCTTTCAGCTACTTCCTGGTGTTATCAATGCATTATTAAATTGAAGCAACTATCTCAAGTCACAAGGAAAATCCATAGCAAAAAAAAAAATCCAGAGCACATATTAAATTATACTGTAAATAGGATGAAACTAATGTTTATAAAGATTCTGTGTCTACTATCATATAAATTTTCCAGCTTATACCTTTAATAAGTGACCAATCTCAGGTGCCACTGATGGACAAACTAATATTAAGCAATAAGGTGATTAAAAATCACCTGTTAGATAGGCTACTATAATTCTTTACAGTAATAGTTCAGCTTCTGATTAGTGGAAACTTAAATGCACACATGACTTTAAGTCTCTTGTACAGACCTAAACAAGCATTTTAAGTGCATAAAGACTTTTGTCTGATTCAACTTCCATGAAGTTTCTTAAGATATGCTTTCCCATTTATGGTTCACAACTCTGTGTGCGTGTGCGTGTGTGTGTGCGCGTGTGTGTGTGCGCACGTGCATGCGCATGTGCATGCGCGTGCGCTAGTTTTGGTGCTTGAACTTAGGACTTAGGTGCTGTCCCTGAGCTTTTATGTTCAAGGCTACGGCTCTACCACTTGAACCAACCTCCACTTTGGCTTTTTTTTTTAAATGTTAATTAATTGGAGATAAGAGTTTCACAGACTTATCTGCCCAGGCTGGCTTCAAATTTCAGTCTTTGGATCTCAGCCTTCTGAGTAACTAGGATTAACAGACATAAGCCACCCAGCACCTAGCAAGAAATATTTTTATTCTAGGAATTTAGAACATCAATATGTCTTGCTAGATGATGGGAGGAGAAGAAAGGATGCTGAGCTGTTATTTTTAGTTTTCTGAACTTCATCAGTTAACTTTAGCTTTTGAACCTGAGAGTTTAGCCTCCAAAAAACAGCAACAACAAAAACAATCTTAATGAGCCAGGTGCTGGTGGCTCACACCTGTAATCCTAGTTACTCAGGGGGCTGAGATCTGAGGATCGCAGTTCAAAGCCAGCCCTGGCAGGAAAGTCCATGATTCCTATCTCCAATTAACCACCAGAAAACTTGAAGTGGGGCTGTGGCTGAAAATGGTAGAGCACTAACTGGCATGAAGCAAAAATGCTCAGGGACAGTGCATACACTGAGTTCAAGCCCCAGGCTGTACAAGAAAAAGAAAAGAAAAGAATTCAAGAAAAGAAAAGACAGTGATCTTATGTAGTGGGTGCCTTACTCCCTGTCCATCTTTGTTTGGTTGTAGTCACAAAGGAGAATGAGTAAGAGCTATTGATGGTTCGATTTTTCTCATAAAACTTATTTTCATTGTATATATTTGGTCCTTAAAATGTAAAACATAGACATGATTATTTAACATAATTATTAAATTACAATCTTCAACAACAGGAAACATCTTTAAGATGAAAATCAGGCCTTGATAAAAATATTATAGTTTCTCCATGTTAAAGTTACACACAAAGTTAGATGGAAAAAAAAAAAAAGAAAGAAATCTAGATAGGAAAAATAAGTTCTGAGAATAACTTTGAGGCAGTAGAAAAGCCCTGTGCCCAGTAAACCCATCACTTCATCACAGTGAGATTCTTGATCACTCTGACTCTGTGTGCTTCTCTGAGCCTCTAGTGCTGCTCACTATGTTTTCTTTTCCAACATTCTAGAGCTGAAAGATCTCCTCTCACCTGTAATGCTGACTTGATATAATTAGGGATTTTTAAAACTGGCATTGTTGTGGGGAACAAGTGTGTTGCAACCATACATGTTTGGAAAGCTTGCTATCCCTGCTCTGAAGGTCTAAGACATATCTCTGCCCTGTACTTCTCTGAGGTCACTGACCTCTGTGTGTGTGTGTGTGTGTGTGTGTGTGTGTGTGTGTACACGTGTGCTCTGGTATTCCAACTTGAACTTAGGGTCTGGGCTCTCTCTGTTCCTTAGCTTTTCCATTCAAGGCTTGGAGCTATCACACTTGAGCCACAGCTCCAGTTCCAGCTCTTTGATGGTTAATTGGAGATAAGAGTTTCATGGACTTTCCTGCCCAGGATAACTTTAATCCTCAGATCTCAGCCTCCTTAGTATCTAGGATTACAGGTGTGTGCCACCAGCACCTGGTTTCAAGAAAGACCCTTATTTCAGGAATTTAGAATGACAGTTTTAGAATATTTAGGTGCCTCAGAAGAACTCAAACTGCTTTGTACTATAGTGTTTCCTTTATCTTTAGTTCCCATTTAAGGAGATAGAAATATGCCTGTGAGAGTTCTTTTATAGCTAGAAATATATGGGCATTAAGGAGCTAAAATTTCCTCCATACTTTTTCTGTGCTCCATATTGCACACAATTGTACATACTTACTTTCATATTTGTGCCACAATGCTTCTCAAGTTGAGGTAGAAATAATCCTGGAGGAAGTGAATCAGAAGTTTGTAATTGCCACAATGTAACATTGTACATATTCCTGGCCTATCAATTTTATTTAATGTTAAAGAGGTGAAATCATTTTTAAATAATGAACAAGATATAGAATTGTATAAAATGAAAATTTAATAGAACATCAAACTTCATTCATGGATTTAATCAAGGTTTCTTATTCTCAGTGGTGTTGAGTTTTTTCCTCTTTGCAGTTGGGAAGGGTGGACGCTCAGAAGCCCCATTCTACCTGAGAGTTTTAATTGCTCATTTTATTTTGAAATAAAAGGTGTGTGGTTTTCGGACCTATATTTCTGGGTTATTTATGCATTGCCAAGCACTTGACCAGAGCACATTAAACACAGTAAATGAAATAAATAAAACATATCTCCCATATCTCATTCCAAATTTCAAAACATTTCCCTTCAAGCTGTCTTAGATGCTTACATTAAATTATAGATTTTTTTTTTTTAGCAGTGTGTTGCTAAGAATGAATCTTTTTAAGCAATATACTCTTTTTAGGCAGGTTCTGGCAGAATGAGTTCAGAGAAAAAGATTTGGTTTGGGAAGAAGCAAGACATGCTAAGCACCAAAGTCACTTAGAAGTGGGAACAATTTCATTGGAAACATTTTTGAAAAATCTCATGAAGTCTGTTTAGACCCAATCAAACACTGCTAGAGCTAGTAGTCAGTGAGGTCCCCTTATTTCCTATGATGTATCTGAGGCACATAGTCTTGATAACGTTCTCAGAAACTGGAAATGTTTTTGTAAACACTGATATGTCTTGTATGCTATATGTGTGTCCTTAAACATTTGATTAAATTATTATGAATCACATCAGGTTTTAAACATTGAGATAAATATACTCAATATACTCTTAAAGAGATGT